GTCTTTCATCTTATCTCGCTGCATGTGAAAGAACAGAATGAAAGATTTGACAAGGTCGAGTAAAAGGGCGTACCTCCCCTCCAAAAAAAGATTTATAGATCGATCGTTTTGAAAAAATATATATGAAGTATTAAAAAAACTTAAGAGCAATAAGTCGAATAAACAGAAAGCTGAATGAACCATGCATTCAGCGCTGCAGATAAGCCATATAAATGCGACATCTTCTGCCTATATGCTACAGATTGTGCTCATATAGAGGTTACTCATGGAGATGATAGACGGATCACGCACTGATGGCAGAGGATAGTTTTGGTTTCAACTTTGGGCACGCTCCCTTTGCTGCTTCGATTACAACGAATAATCGTGAAGACTCAATCTGAAAAATAAAGATAAATATCAATACAACTATGATCAATGAGTGTCATCATTTTATGCTACATCGCTACTAGATGTTAGTGTCTTACAGTGCTAAACGAGCAGACTTTCTGTTTTTTGAACGTTTAACTTAGGTCTTTCGTAAAGTTCTCCTGTACTCTGCCATTTGATCGTTTATATACTTTGTAGTATCAGTATTTTAGATAGTAAAATGTCTTCTAAGCGATCACAAGAGTCCATTCTTGAATTTTTTACCAAAAAAGCAAAAACTGAAATAGAAAAAAAATACCACCTCGAACGTGAAATTTAAAATAAAGTTTACACTATCTCGGGCAGAAAACTTTCGTTACACCCTTCCCCTCCCAATGTCCGGCACCTACTCAGGTCTCTGTGAACACTATGTAGTGAACTAATGAACAGTCACAAAATAAGGGCAGATCTGCTATTTGTGAGGCTAGTCCAGACTGAATCGTGACTTCGAGCTTCGTTCTCAGTTGATAATGAATCGGTTGGATGACAAAGGCAACCTAAGGTTCATAAGAAAATACGATATCGAACGACAAGGAGCTGGTTTACGGACGGTCAGTTCCGATGAAGCTGTCATTGTTTTCATCATAGCGTTCAGCTTGCTTTTCGTTCTACAGAATCATTGCAAAGGGAAAATCCTGACAAGTTGGTCATCGCGTGAACGAATCACACAACATTCCCATTGCAGCGGTTATATAGATCAGTCCAACTCCTGTGTCGATTCTTGTTTATGGGTGACACTTTACCGTTTCTTTATATGTAACGCGTAACGCAAAGTAGCGCAGTAACGTTTTACAAAGTAAACCAAAAATTTCGAGTTATAATACGGCCAGTAGGTCATTTTTCAAAAAACGTAATTGCGCAATTACGTAACTGCGTTACGAGTTACTTGTAACGCAAAAATGACGCAGTAACCCGTTGTGACGATTCTTTGTCACAACCTCTCTGTGCTATGTACTTCTTTCGGTAGAGCTACTCTCTTTTGTTCTGTTCTATTCTTTGTCTGTTTTTGTTCTTTCCTCTCTTTGTTCTTCTTTGGTTCTTATCTTTTGTGCATGCAGTAGTACATATATATATTAGTATTTTTCTTGTGAAGAGTTAGTTTTTTGTAGTTTGTGATGAAGAGTAGTCGAATAAAAGAGTAATACTACATATCTTAACGCACGCATACAATCAACTCAAGGACTTATAATTAGAGGAAGTATAGGTTCCTCACACCCGTCTCTCTTTCTTTTATATTCTTTTGAGAAGGTGTAATCATTAAATTGATTCCCAGAAATGGGCTCACCTGTGTTATTGTACAATTTCTTTTCTCTTAATGGCTGTCATCATTCTATATGATGATAAGTATCAAGGAACGGTTTTCGAATCGCAGTTAAACATCTTTCTCCTCTGTTTTGATTAACGGATCGAGATTCATTTGATTGAGAGGTCTTTCACCTTCAAGGGATTGAAGCACAATCTGGCTTTTTAGGATTATGTGGGTTCCTGTTGATCTCTATTCAGTGTCCTTTCCACAAACTTGACAAATTCACTAGACAATTCACAACAACAAAAAAAAGAGTTGCAGCTGTAAAAGAATCATGAAAGCACGATGATTTATAGAAATGGAATGCACTACCCAATCAATTTTCATTATTTTTACTAGTAATCACATGGGAGTGCCGGTACCGGACTATTCACACTCCTGCCTCACTCTGTTGGCTGTAACATTAGCTGAAAAAAAGGTTTTACGTCAACTGTGACGGCCTCCGTCAGTTCTCATATTAAGAGCTGCACAACTGCAACACTCATAGATGATGTTACAGCCAATGGCAGCCAGCTAGAGTGAGGTACGAGTGCGAATAGTTTGATACTAGTACTCCCATGTGATTACTAGCAAAAAATAATGAAAATTGATTGGGTAATACTAATAGCTTCTTTGTGGCACTTCTTGGAGTGCCAATACCACTCCATTAAGTTAAAGAATAATAAACCAATTCTGTTTCAACTGTAGCAGTATTACCATCCTGAAACCAAATTCTTTTCAGGCGCCAAAACTAACGAACGTCAACTTCACGGATGAGAACGTTTATAATCTGTAAATGAAAGAGCATGTCTGTACCCTCTGTTAAGCTGTCTAAAGTCACATGTACACTTACGAAGTCAACAAGCTATTTACTTTAAGGGGCCGCGTGTTTCCAAAAACCTGAACGATTTGCTTTCAAACTTGACACTTTAAAGTAAATAGCTTGTAGTTTCGTGATTTTTGAACTTAAAAATCCGCAAAATATCTCATTTTACTCAGAATTCTACGGGCTTTCAGAATACGTATGTTTGAAAAATTTTGGCTTGCTCTAGCAGTCACTAGGTTTTCTAGGAAACCTGAGTTTTGAGAACCCTATAACTCCGGAGGGAAGAAATACATATTGGGTTTTCGACGGATTCATATAGAATCGAGTACGCTGATTCCGAATATGATGTTCCGAATTTCGAAAAGTAGGGATAAGACCCTGAAAAACGCGTTATAAGTTCGCCGAAAACGTAAAAGACGTTGTTCTAGATACAGTAAACTGCGTTGAATCTAATGTACTTCTTGGTTTTGTGATACGAGTTTGTCTTCATGGTGAAAAACGCGTTTCAAAATGGTTCGTTTCCGCGTTTTCGCCAATTTTGAAATCGACGGTGGATGCGGCAGGTACGCGATGGAGACTTTTTTCTTTCGCCATTCGACTTACAAATGATCAAAATGTATTTGGTAAAAGTCTCAGCTCGATCGGTTTCGATTTGGCCGAGAAAATTACAGTGCAATTTCCCCCTGGAACGTGGAAAAACTGAAACCCCCCGAGCCCGTCCCGGACCTGTTCGCATCGACTTAGAAAATTAAAATTTCCTGGCTCAGAATTTGATGCTCTTTCGAATGAGATAGGTCTCGACTAATGCGCCAGACTTCGCTGTAAAGATGGTATTTTACCGGTGGAACTCGCCTTTTATAATCAGTTGTATCACTTCCGGATGTAGTATATACATACTTATTTCTATAACGTGCGAGTTCCTGTGTACAAGATTCTAGACTAGCAGATGTAATTGCTACATTTTTACCAACAAGAGCATTCACCAGTGTACTTTTACCGACTCTGGCTTTACCGACTAACATCACACTAAATTCATTTAGTTCTTTCAAACCATAATTTTTTTCCTCAGCATAAATATAGTCACTTTCTTTAACGGATTGTAAGGCTTCGGACACTATTTTGGACCTGCGACACAGGTTCCATTTTTGTCCTTTTAATGCGTTCACACGTATTAGCAGGACGAAATTGTCTACTTAAAGCGCTAGCTCTCCACTGTGAGGCTCGCATAGAGTTGCAAAATTAGGTTGCGGAAACGGAGCGTCATCGATTAAAAAATTTCCACAGACTATACGATGTGTGCTGTTATAAGCTAGACAACATGTCTAAATCCAGTTTGGGTCGTAGAATCCGAAAAACACATCGGCGGAATCGGAAAGTTGAATGGTGAGGAGGTAGCGCCGATTTTTGGAAAAGTCACTTTTTCTAGGTTTTCCAGCGTTCTTCACTATTTTGCCTTTTTCTCCCTGAAAACTCAATCAAAACGAAAAAATAAGATCAGATTCGTGATCAGCCAATTCCGGCGAATCAGAATATGTGTGTTTAATCGAAAAACAAAAGCCACTCGACATTCGAATTACGTACATCGTAATACTCCAGTGTTTGGAAAATTTAAAACTTAGTTAGAACTCGAATAGTTATAAAAATAGCTTGACATGTGTAACTTGATATACTCTATAAAATGGCTGATGTGAAAATCCTAAATTCCATTGAAAAATTTCATGGTCTGGTTTTCTAGAAACCTTACTTGGTTTTCCACGGATTTTCAACAATCTCAAAAATCGCACTATGGCTCATGATAGTATACATAGTGTAGTCCAACGATATTATATGGAGTGAGAGTTTTGCTCCATTCCCAACAGAAAATCTTTCTCCAAAATGACCGAATCGATGATTTGGGCTCTTGCGGGATCATCTATTGTAAAAGAACGAAACATGTCTGGTGCTCGCGATTGTGTGAATCCGTAGTAGACACTATCTAGTATTTATGATAGAATCCTTAAGTCTAAGTTATGTGCTCTTACAGTGTTGTACGTACTTTAAATTGACAGTTTCCTTAGATGCCGGAATTTGTGCGTTTTCGGTGTTTTTGCAAAAATTGAATATCTCAGCAAAGCAAAAACTTTAGGACCTGTGATTTTGTTGTTGAAGATCTGGAAGAGATCTGAGATGATCGATTGAGCACGTTAGGTCGTGGCTTATCTTTAATGACTCTTAAATGGATTGATATAGCAATCTCTACCACAAAATTTTACGTTTATTTCGGACAATATGAACACTGTTGGTATAAAATAACGTTCACATTCACCGGAACGCTCACGTTCTAGGATCGTCAACTTGTTTTAGTGTTCACGTTCAAAGAAAACGCCAGAAAGAAACGGTGAGCGTTTCCAGGCCTAATACCGTCCTTTTATTTTCACCAATTTTCCACAAAAAAGTCATTATCTTGAGGTATCGTCTCCATTTTGACTGACATCATGTGTTAGTTCATGCATTAGATTTGATGCCACCTAAAGCATCAAACATTTCTTTGGCTGATAATATCATGATCGCTCTTGTTCTTGTTTGGACTATAGGTCTACGTAATGCGAGAAATTCTGATAGCAGTTCAAATTTTGCTAGTTCAATATTTAATTCAACACCTGGAATTATTAAACTGAGAAGGCAACAATGCCATGCACCCAATAACGGTTTCGCTCGTCTATTGTTGATTGATAACGTCGAAGATTGTAAGACAAGGCCTAAAGGAAATTGAAGCAATGTGCCCCGGTTGCAGAGTTATGACGGACTCATAGACGGCAACAGGCATGAGCGAGTCCGAGTCCGGACTGGAAGATCTTTTGGCGCACTCGGACTAGAGATTTTTTTAAAGGACTTGGACTTGGACTTGAGTTTTTGTATTTCGAGTCCGATCGATTCAAGTTTTAACGTAAATGAACACTAAATTTTTTCTTTAGTTTTATTGTTCTGAGTTCGATGCGGTTTAAGGACGGTCTACACCTTTGCATTCAATATCAATGTGTGAGATATAGATTATGACAGATTAGAAATATTGCTCTCTCTAATAAACCTTAACTACTACAGTAGCTTGTTTTAAGTGCATAATAACAGTCCGGCTACATCCGCACCCATTGAGCGTATTTTTTCTCAATCAGGAGTTTTGATTAGACGGGAAAGAGCACCTTTTACAAAAAATAATCTATCTCAACTGGCATTGTTAAAATGTAATAGAAGTTTACTTTAGTAACTTTTTCTGTATCAACAAGATCGATATATTAAATAGCACAGAAAAAAGAAATAAACCACAATCCTAAAAAATGAATCCAAAAGATTACCGGACTCGAAATGGACTCGAACTCGGACTCGGAATAAATTTTTGAGGATTCGCACTCGATCCCTCCCGGACTTGCATGCCTGGATGGCAACACTTTTACCGTAACTCCTGAAGATCGTATGCCAGAGAGCTATGATGCATCGCATTTCTAGTCAAAGTGATCCACTATAAAGGCTCAAAAAATTTCAAACTCACATCTCATCTGGTTGAAGAGATTTTTTACACATGCGAATTCATGTCCATGTAAACCATCGCATATACATTCAAAGCATTTCTTAAACCGTTTGGCATACATTTAAACCAAACGAAGCACGTATGGTTCATTTGGTTTAAATGTGTGCGACGTTTCAAATAATCGTGGATGCTATTTATAATAAGATCTAAAATAAACAGATAACAAAGGCAAAGAATAAATAACTTGCATTCGAGATATAAAGACAAAATTTTAGTTTCTCCCACTGTAGACGTTCTTTCAGATGTTTCAAAAACTCGTTCTACCATGATTTTCACTTTGTGCCTAAACATAATCGCATTCTATCAATAAACCGTCTGCTTCTTTTAATCATCTCTCTGCAAATTTTAAAGACGTTCTCGATAGATTAATCAAGCGTTTCAAAAACCAGAATAATTCTGTATGACTCTAGTAGGAAATGTTACCTTTTTCTGCGTTGCGTCCTGTTTTGCGACTTTCTTGATGAAGTTGTCGTGCGACTTTGTCACAGTTCTGGAGAGTGAGGAAGATAAAATTATGACTTAGAAGACTTCTGAAGATAATTGGTAGACGCCATAGAAAGATTGCACGACAACTTCATCAAGAAAACTGGACGTTAATCGTGTTTAACCCGAGTTTCAAATGCGTTGCGCAAGTCAGAATCTCTAGGACAAGGTAGTTCTACCAAGTAACATTCTAAAAAAAAGTGGCGTTTACTAAACCTTAAAGGATTTAGTAAGCGAGCTAAACCCCTTAAAAAACCATCAACGGTTTTTTCGAAAGGTTTATCATCGATCTTAAACCTTTAAAGGAATATTATCTTTTATTATAGGTTTTGCTTCCAGATAATAAAATGAGTGATTCGTATCTTTGGTCACATTTTGATGTACTCAAATGGCTAAAGTCATTTATTAAAAAGGAAACAGTTATTGAAAATTTTCAAGGTATGTTTACCTACAGAAAGTTTAGTTTTTCTCGCGTTTATATATTTTTTTTGTGTGCTTCTGATTAGAGTTAATATTCTCGAAATAGTTTTCTTGATGACAACCAGTACGCTCGATTGCACTTTTTGTAATAACAGAACTTTTCATAACTTCAACTTTTTCCTACGTCACATCACTCGCTATCATTCATCCGAACCACAATTTCGATTAACATGTAATTTATCAAATACGTGTGGTGTTTTATACAAAACATTTCCAGCATACAGAGCATACATTCAGCGTCACTAGAGATAAGTATGTTTCAACTGCTGAGATCAAAAAGCTTTTATGCTGAACGGAAGTGCAAAAGTTCTGTGGTAAATATGTCACATTTTCTCTTAGTAGGTGAATAACAATACTACGTTTATCACATTGCACAATTATTATAAACTCTGACATAAGAATTCCTTTCCACTGACAGAAAGAAAATCTTATGTCAGAGTTTATAATAATTGTGCAATGTGATAAACGTAGTATTGTTATTCACCTGCTAAGAGAAAATGTGACATATTTACCACAGAACTTTTGCACTTCCGTTCAGCATAAAAGCTTTTTGATTTCAGCAGTTGAAACATACTTACCTCTAGAGATGTGTTCGGTGATCATTGACGCCGATCCTCCCCGCTGACACCATGAGTGAAAACGGGCGTTGATATTGTCTAGAAAATTTATTTTCATGGGAGTTGCGTTCGCGCTTCACCCTTCAAACGAAATAAAACTCAAACTGCCTTATCTGAATGTGTAAAATATCTGACTCTGTCTTCTGACAGAATACTGCATATTAATCTGCTGTATCTAGACAGTAATGATGAGAAACATGCTATGATCCATGTTATAAACTGGAAGACTTTGAATTCTTGAATCAAAAGAGGGACAATCGAATATTTCTCGACTGTTCATGTATATTTTCATCATTGATTTAGTCGGTAATTGATTATGCAATGAACTTTTCTTGTCCTTTTGTGTCGTGATTACCATAAGAATACTTTCAAAATACTGGTCCTGTTCATCGTTGGTAGATTGCTGTGGGATAAACCCATGTATTTTCGTCAGTGTATGTGTTGTAGCATCTTCTGTGTATCCATATCTTGACATAAGATCAGCATCTCCATTACTTTTCCCTTTCTTATATTTTATTTGTTTAATATTGAATTCTTGTAAAATAGGTTCGAATTTTTCCACTAATGCATTTTTTGAACCTTTTTTTTATGAAAATCAACTAGAGGATAATGATCTGTTTCAGTTGTAAATTCTAATGGTAAAAGAAAATGTCTCATTCGTCGAACACATTCAACAATCGCTAAAGCTTCCCCTTCATATAGATAATATTTTTGTTGTGATGGTGTGCATTTTTGTGAATGATCGTAGATAATTTTTAGTTTATCATCGACGTGTTGTTTTAGCATACCACCAATAGCTTGTTTTGGAAAGTCACATGACAGTGTTAGAGGTGAATGTGGATCAGGAAAATCAAGGACTAAATCCTTAGTATATTTTTTAACTGAATAAATGCCTCTTTTTGTGACTCACCCCAGATTTCATTCCACACTGTTAATTCGATTTATTTTCTAATTTTATAAAAAATCGACTTTGACAATTGGAAATGATTTTAGACTTTTATGAAATCGTGAACGATTTTATAAGAATATTGAAAATGCTTATTTTCTACTTTGTTAAAGATTGAGTCGATTTTCAAGAATTTTCTTTTTCAAGATAGTTCGAAAAATTGTCTTGATTCCTCAAGTAATAGAAAATGTTTTCTGATTTGCTCTAAAATTGAAGAATCAACTGATTTTTTGAAAAGAGTATTTGATTTTCTCTAAAATAAAATTAATTTCTGGAAAATCGTCCTTATTTTCTGTAAATTTGAAAGGAACTCGCTGGCATTTTTTAGTCAAACGAGAAGATGTAAAGAGGGTAAGTACTGTAACGGCCACAGAAGTTTTTTGGTTGTTTCAGTCAATCTCTGATTGATGAGAGACCGAAATTTCTCTGATTAATATCTCAGCCGCGTACTCTGAGGAGTGTTGCCCCACATCAATACATTATTAGTGTTTATTTCACCTTTACATCGATGATGGTTTTTACGATATTATACAATATTATCTGTTTTTATCTTTCGTTTAGCAAAAAGTTAACGTATTCTTCTTCTAAACGAAAGAAACATGCAGTAAAAGATTTCAACGTAACGACGTGTCATTCAGCCCGCCATTGTGATTCTCTTACTCACAATTCATATTTCGAAAATATAAGCGCATTACAGTAAAACCTCTATTAGTGAACACCTCTGTAAAGTAAACACCTCCTTATAGTGAACGTTTTTGAAAAGTCCCGATGGTGTTCACAATAGAGGGTTTTTACTGTATTTCTTTCATTGAAAAAAGAAAGCTTAATTGATTAATCTCTTAATATGCCCTTTCCTTCTTTAAAAAACGCACAGAATAGTTCTTTTCCTTAGTTCAAAAGCAGAATGAAATTAAGAAACAGAGAGATATGTTCACAAACATCCCAAGCATCAAAAAAAATCTAGTATCGCCCGATTCATCTAGATTACTAGATTTTTACTCGATTGCAACTACTGTGTAACGACAGTGGAAATCTAGTAATTGGGCGATTACTAGATTTTTTCTAGTTATACCTATCGATTTATCGCCCGATAATCGATCGATTCAACTATTACTAGATGCGCCTGCAGACGCATCTAGTTAAAAGTCCTTTTTCCAACTAGTAATCTAGATGACAACTAGTCGTGTATCGCCCGATTACAGACGAAATGTATCTAGATTTTTCTCATAGGTGATGATATTTGCTTGGGATATTCCTTTCTTATAAACACGTCGTTAGCCTTTCGTCCCATTTTTAAGAAATGCTCCTGCTGTACGTATTTTATTCTGGTAGAAAATTGAAGGGACAGAACTAATTAGTTCTTATTCATTCATTTGTATTAAAACATCCTCAGTAAATGTTTTTTGGACTCCATGTAACGAAAAAAACGACAAAAAAAATTTAAACGAGAAGGACGCTGAACAATTGTAAAAATCGTTCTAGATTTTCAATTTCTTTAAAAATATATTCCACTTTTGATTTTCAATTTGTCCACATACGAATTCGCCGGGACTTTTCAAGTTTAAAAAGCGTCATTGATTTTATGCAAAATCGATTTATTTTCTAGAGTGTCGTTTTTGATTTTCTGAAAAATCAACGACGGTTTTCCGAAAAAGTTGAATTGATTTTCCAGACAATCCAGACACGTTATATGAAAAAGGTAAAATCCTCAAAAACCACGTTTTCAAGAAAGTAGAAAATCGCTGCTGAATTGGTATACGGCCTGTCCACGTAACGGTCGCCTTTTTGTTATTCCGTCACGATTTTTGTTGTTTTGTGAGCCTACTGGCGTTCGAACAAAAGCAAACCCAACGATCGTTTACATCTAGCCTTATAGAGAAAAGTAAGCTGAACAAAATGTGATATCTTTTACTTTCACAGAGTGTCGTGGTTCTCAAATACAACAAAAGTTTTACGAGCCCCGTTTTGGCGGACTTTTAATTGGTACTCGTAAAACTTTTGCTGCACTTGACGACCACGATATTCTGCGAAAACGAAAAATATCACATTTTGTTCACCTCACTTTTCTCTACAGGTTAGATGTAAACGGTCCGTGAGTTTCCTTTTGTTCGAACGCCAAGAGGCTCACAAAATAACAAAATCGTGATGGAATCACGCGTTACGTGGATAGGCCGTATATGGACAAACTGAAAATCGTTTTTTATTTTTCATAACTTATTTTCAAGTTTACAGTGCATGGTATTTTTGTTTCTTTCATATTTCCGTTTGTCGGTCACCTTGTATATGGGACTTTGCTATTTTGGCAAAATTATCAATAAATTTTCGATAACAATTAATCCCGCCGATAAATTGATTTAATTCCAGAAGGAACTGATTAAATAGCCATTTATTTCCATATCTGAATGTATTTGGCTAGATAAATAAAGTCAACATAGAAGCAATCATAGTACAACTCCAGTTGCTTATAAATAGAATCAATGGTATTATAAAGTATTTCAGGATTAAAAGGTAACTGAATGTATGCTAAATTTTTCATTAACATAAATATTTCAACAATATTATTCATTTTAAATAATTTTGTTCTATAACCTTGATGAATAATAATTAAATGATAAGCATTTGTAAAATATTCCACTAGATCTAGTACATTCTCAACAAAGAAGTCGACTAAAACAAGTTCTCTGATATTTTTAAATATCACATGAAATTTAACATCATCATAATGATTCGTTATTTTTAAAATAATTCTATAATTAATAATTAATTAATCGTTTAACCATTGAACGGTAACATTGGAATCGTTTTCTAATTGACTAACGTCTACTACACTGATATTCTTTAATATTTTGTTTAATAATTTGAACAAACATAATGATAATGGTGCATACATAGTTAACTGTTTTACCTTTTTATAATAAAATGACATGTCTGTAATGATAGAATCACTGTTTAACTGTCAATTTAGAAAACCATTTGACATTCCTCGAATCCATTCAGATGAAAATGGAAGCGATCTCAAACAGTAGCAATTTACCTGTTCATTATAGTGATAGCCAATCAACCATTTTTTGACAAACCAATATTTAGTTTGAGATGTTGAAATTATTTTCGATACTGGCAACGTCTCATTTTTAACGTAGAGAGCATAATGAAATTCAATTAATTGTAAGAAATGAGACAAAATATCCCGTTGCAAATAGTATCCATCAGTAAGACGTGTCTGATTATCTAAAGTAATTTCGAGAGATAAACGTTTTGATGCTGATGGTAGATGTCCAAGTAAATTGACAATAAATATATCGCTCTCAAATGAAAAATGAATTTTTGTTAGAGAAAAGGCAGTTAACCTCTTGAATGCCGTAAGGCATCTATAGATGACATGAAGGAAATTTTATATGTTGCATATGCTTTTTCGTTCTATTGATTTAATGAAAAAAACTGCCAGAGGAACACACGGTACGAAATACAACAGAACCCAAAGAGAGATATTTAATCGTTTTTTTACATATGCGTGCCTTTGGACGCGTAACAGGAAAAATAACGGCATTCAAGAGGTTAAACGACAAATCTTTTTTGATAAATTTTTAAATACAGAATGTTTCATATCGTTTTCATGACAGTTTTCGTTGAGAAATGTAACATGCATTATTCGAATGCGAGGCAGATTGTTAAAGAAAATAATTAATTCTGGAAATGTATTCAAAGTGATATACAATTCCTCAATTTTACATGGTCGGATATGTTTGTTAACATAAATCCAGTTACTACTTAATTTTTCTAATAAACTTGTACGAGAAAATAAATATTTACATAAAGGACGGGGGCGATTGTTTGATGGGATCGACCCCTGCTTGAATTCCATCGACACATACATGGTTGGATGCAGAATGAACAGGAGAACATTTCTAGTCACTCGGCAGACCATAGAAATGCTCTCAGAAACAATTGGGTCCAATTAACTGTAATCACTTCTGACACGTATTATTCATCATATTCTCGAGTGTGTCTCTCTCGGCCTCATACCTCAGTAGAACTATCATATGTCATTCGAAAGCTCTTTTTCAGCACTATATTTCTGTATATCACATATACGGAAATAGTCGTTTTGAGGCCAAGTATGTTTAGAAATACTTCTGTCTGTGGAAAATAATCTCCTATATGCAAATTGTCTAAGATAATCTATGACACCCTTTATCATCTAGCCACTACGATAGATAATTTCTCGCGCTACACGTTCATACATATATGATAGTGGAAAAAGTGTCCTAGGACAAATTTGATATTAGAAATACTTTCTGCAGAACCGTCAAAAGTGAGTGAATTATTCCAAGATGAGGATCCTTTATTCAACGTTTCGCAACTAACCACTCAGATAGATATGACATTCAATAGAGAATTTCACGCGCTTCACAATGAGCTATAAATAAATCTTTCAGAAATATGTCCACATTGGTCAACAGTTGAAACACTTGGTCGATATAATGATTTTGACGTATCCTACTGCTTTTAGCACTCCGTTAGTCGTTTTTCTGGTATAATGAAAATTATGTATGGTTCGAAAACATATCACTCGATAGCCCTTGAAATTCTGTATAAAGTGAGCTGGTCACTATATCCAGACAGGTCGGGCCAGCCATTAAAGATATGGAAAAGAAGCTTTTGGGTGTTATCTAAGGGATGCCGTCACATTGTTTATCGCTTTAATCGCTTAAAACGCTTCAAGCGCTTTCTACTTTTGATAGATTTATTCACAGAAACAAAAAAAGAAAAGTAAGAAACGATAGAGAGTGAATCAGAGATATACGGTAGATATTGCTTCTAAGTTTTAAATTTTTCTTTGCTTTTGATCCTAATGTTCGCTGCACTCACCATAAAATTACTCTATATTCTGTGAACTTAACAGATTAAAATAAAACTAACTAGAATGTACACCTTTTCGTTTTCTATGTCAGTTTGACGTACATAAGATATACCATACGCCGAGCCATTTTTTAGAAAAGGGTACAGTCTACTTTATGAGATATAGGGCTTGTCAATAACGGAGCTGAATATGAGACATAGATGTACTTTCTCTGCCAATTAACAAGCAAATTACAAGTGTCTTAAAGTTTCATTTATTCAGACTGGACGTAAAAGTGATTACTTATAAGAGCCTGATCTTTTTGTGAACATTAGGATCAAAACTTGAGTCTTGGTGAAGAAAATTGAGAACTACAGATAGAACTCCGATTTTGGCGCTCCTGACTTAGAAAACGTGAATTTTTTCAGTGACAAAGCAAAATGGGAAAAAAGCGATTTCATGCTTTTAAAGCTCGTTTAATAGCGGTTCTAACGAAGTAGAAAAATCGACTTCATCTCTCCACACAAAAAACTAGATAGGTTTGCAAAACATTTATGAACTTTTCATAGGGAAGAAGCCCAAGACGTCCATACGGATAGGCCTTTGACTGTGACCTCGAGCAAGCATCATTCTCATACTCAGTTTTTAATATGCTGAATCTGAGAAAGATGCTTTCAAAAAGCTGGAAGTACGTGACAGAAAAAAATTTGAGTTTTCTGAAATTGTAGATACTTCCAGTTTTTTCAATTTTTCATCCTCAAAACAATTTTTTGAAATATTAAAAACCGCTTTCTCCTGCTCAGTTTGATGAGCCCTATCCAGTCATGCCAAAAACAAAAATGGAAAAAGTTTCTAGGAAAATTTTCAGGAAAACTGAAAGTAGTGAAATATTTTTATACAGTACACGGTTGGTTACTCTCTAAAGTTCAGAATACATATATCACGTACGATACATAAATCGTATTTATCCTAATGCGGTTGTAGCAATCGTTTCAAAGTCTTTGCTAAAACGACTGAATTTGAACTGTCTTATTCAGACAACTAATGAAATGAGGTCAGTAAGTCAGTGAAAAAAGGTCACAACGGATAAATTTTTCGTTTTCTAAGAATTCTTTTGATATTTTAAACTTTCAATGTTTTTGCATATCTCATTTAAAATGAGAATAATGACAACAGAGCTAGTCTATATCTTCTTCTATCACGCACGTGTGGGCCTTATGAATTATATACAGATTGTATAGACTATATTTCTGTGTATAACGGACACAAAATAAAAATTCACTGACATTGACACTGACGCTGACCCTTTTTGTGATTGATTGGAAATTTCTTACTTAAATACGCAGTTTTAAGGAAAATTTCTTCTATTTTATGGCATTCTGAGATCCTTGAGATCTTATTGTGACAGGTTTTAGTATTTTTGAGTTGTTTTTTTCAAAACATTAGCGCAAAACCGACTTTTTATAAGGGGAACAGAATCGGCCCAAATTTTTTTTCTGAAGAGCTTATTATGTGAATCGACGGGCAGCAAAGTATCTCTTGATTCAAATCACTTTTCGCATTTTGGCGCGAATAGTGGCGCCACTTAAAACGCGCTACTATTCGCGCCAAAATATGAAAAATGATTTGAATCAAGAGATACTTTGCTGCCCGTCGATTCACATAATAAGCTCTTCAGAAAAAAAATTTGGACAGATTCTGTTCCCCGTATAAAAAGTCGATTTTGCGCTAATGATACAAAAAGATAGATAGTGTCAGTAACACGATGCGACTTCACCTAAAAGATGCTTTTCACCTGCTAATCGATCACGATTTTTAGCCTAAGCCGACATGGCTTTGAGATTCTAATCTTAGTAATTGAAATTAAGTTAAATTTTATTAATTTGAATATTAACTTCATTTGGTATGGCCTCTGGGCTTCATCTGAGCCAGGTGGCGATGGAACAGTACCGCTGATCTATGTTGTCTTTGCTCAAAAGAGGTAATAAACGGCATTGATAGCAGTCGACACCCACCATTGTTTACGTTGAATTGATTGAAAGGAATTTTTTGCGTAATATAAAGTACTCTTTCAAAACGCCCTTTGAGTCAAGTCGACTTTGTCCTTTGAGTGATGTTGAATTGGCTCAGAGAGAAGTTATTCAACGATAATAAACAGTGGTCTATGTTGATTTAGACCAGTACTGAGCGACGACATAAAGCAAAGATACTCAGCCATCTCTCCTTTGAACTGTTAAAGAAAGAAATATTTTTTGACAGTCGCAACGTTCATTAACAAAATATAGTATTTGGCTTATTCTAAAAAACTATTTAGAAACACGGAGAAAGTTATTTGTTTAAACAAAGCTAACGAAAGATCTTTTGTAATTTGCCTAGTCTTTTTTTTGTTGAAGTTTCTTCGAAATTTATTTCAGCATTGTACAATTTAAACTAGCATGTAATATCTGTATAATAGTAACTGTTTTATTTTTATGGCAGACAGCAACAGAAATATAAAACTATTGTTATCACCGACAAAGCACAAAAATCATATTAAACAAGACCTGGAAGAGAAGCATTATCAAGATAAGAAAGAAAAATAGATTCAAAAATTTGATTTCATAACATAGAAATGGAAAAAACCATCAGAGATTTTCTATAAATTCAGAAACTATGGAGGTATAGAAAAAGGACAAAACACGATATAGATATCCAAGAAAAGAAGGATATATCAACAACATAAATCACACGCCTTAGCGTCCAAAAAACAAATATGTGTAAAACGACACATATCCAGGAAAAGATATAAAAATTACTGTTAGAAAAATAGATGGTTACTGATTGATATTTTTGTACAATTTGAATTTTTACTGTCTTTCACATCTGTTCTATAGCTTTATTCAGTAAATCATGGCGTATCGAAAGAACTGCACGTTTCTGATCGAGGTGCGATGTTACTAATTGTTCTTATCAAGCGCAAATACAAGATTTCGTTGGTAGATGTTAACATCCCAGCACACTTCACATACACACATTATTTTCACTATTTGACTATTTTCACTATTTGACTGTTTTCACTCTTTTCACTATTTAGATTATTCAGACCAGTTCGACTATTTTGACCATTTTGACTCTTTTGACTATTTAGACAATTTTGACCATTTAGACAATTTTGACTCTTTAGACTATTAACAAAATTTATACCTTCAATTGCGTTACTTGTTATTTCGCCAGGAAAAATATGATTTAAATTCAACGATGTTATTATCCAACGTCCTATAAGAAAGAATGGTTTTTGAAGACATATTAGCAATCGAGCACTTTCGGTCCAAGTCGACTTCGTCCATCGAACGAGGTCGATATAGACTGAAAGCTTTTTTTGGATGTATAAATACTCATCCTACAATAACGTTCTTTGGGCGATGACCACTTCGTCTCTTGAGCCATGTTGACATAGATCAAAAGAAATACTTCTACAGTTCATCGTTGCGATGGTCCATTTGCCGAACATGACTATGCTGTACAAATGGAAACTTCATCGGACATACAAAAGGAAGAATTAGTTATTTATGTTCCCGAGAAAAGAAAAGATACAGCACTTCGTTATATACGGGACATAAAATACTTATTATCATCATCTTCACGTGTTGAATTTGAATCGAAATTACAAAATGTTAAACAGCAGTAGTCCATCGACCTCATTGATTATTTCAATAATTATATCTTGCGGGATATTGAAGAACTTGGTAAGCAGAGATTCTAATTTTTTTCAGAAGTGTTTCCGAGTCGACTTCGTCCATCGAAATAAAATGAACTGAAATATCAACTCAAATTATTTTTGTAAAATTTAAGATTGTAATAGATTCAGTTTTGAAACACGACACGATTGTTTTTTGTCGTTTAGGCTACCAATCGTCATATTTTTGATCAAGAAAAAAATAATCATGAAATTTCTTCGAATTTTGTAACTACAGGTGACAATGATACGTATATATCTGGTGACGTAAACAATGAACCACAAGAAGTAAGTCAAGTTAATTCAATACCTAAGAAAAATAGATAATAAATTATCGTATGGTTATATTTAGACGGCAAACAGTGTTTCTATGGTTGTGAAAGCAGCAAATGATATCATCCATGCACCATTTGAACCAACAGCAAATAATAAAAGAAAAACAAGCGAAAATGATTTATTACAAGATATTAATGGTCCAGTACTACAGGTGAAAAGCTATTTATAATTAACAGCATATGTAGTTATCTGATATATAAGTTGCTATAAACTACTAGAGCATTTACTATTTATCGCCAGCGAACACGTTTTTTCCGATTGCCAAACTTTATTTCATCTAGTGAATACTTTTTAGAATTCTACACCAACAAGTAAAATAAAAAGATCACGTACATTGCCACCTATCGTCACATATAATTCTACATCAACACAGCCGCAATTTGGAGTACTTGTTTATGCTTATAAATCCGAAAAAATTGAATTTTCTGTCTAGCTTTTGAACTTTGGCTTCTAGGTACCAACATTAACAATTACAAATCCAACAACACAAGAAAGTTATCAAGTATATACGGAAAAATACAGTCGTGCCAAGAATGCTGCAGAAACTGAATTGTTAACTGGAGAAAAGGGATTTAATCATTTGTTATCCTTTTTATTCGGTGCCATATTTTCTAATGAAGAATTGAGAGAGAGCTCCATTAATGGCACAGTAAAAGGAACAAAACCATTATGCCCACAACGTGTTCATACAATTGACCAACATATGTATAATATTTATGGTCAACGGTATAGCACGTATAGACAAACAAAAAAGTTTAAAGATACCAAAAATAAAAAATGTTGTCGATTACGTTGTAGATTATTAGATTGATATTCATCTGTTTTAGCCTAATTTTAATCCGTTTTTGTCTAAATCTTTACTTCTATAAAGAAAAACACGTGATACTATAGTTTCTTCCTGATATTAAGGAAAACATTTTATTCTAAAAAAGTCTAAACAGTATGACAGGAGAATGAACTATAAAAGAGATGTCCTCTTTTTGCTTTAAATATATTAGCTTGATAAATGAATAATCTTTGAAAACATGGCGGTTAATTGTTTTTGAAGAAGTAGAAACAATTAGAAAAGAAAATCAAGCTTAGTATACTCTATAAATTATATATAGAAAAAGTAGTATAAAATGAAGTGTTCTATAATAGAGGAATAGAGGAATAACAGAGGAACAGTCGCGGAATAATCGGGGAATAGAGGAACAGCGGAATAGCGGCCGACCGACCGGAATATATTTTGAAACGCTCCCTAAGTAAAATGTGTGAAAAAAGCCTATCTAACATCATCTTTTGAAACAAATAGGAGGAAAGCGAAAGAGAGTCTCATCGAGCCTGCAGAGTCTCTAAAAACGATCGTTTCTGATACGTTTTTTTTGTTTAGGAGTAAAATGGTTAAGGGATATAGTACGGCTATTGATACAGCAGAGAAAAGAAGTGAATCGAAGTAAGTGTTAAGCGTTGATTCATCTTTTTATACGGTTTTATTCGTTTATCTCTTATTTTAGAGATGATAGTGATACTGAACAACCAGTTAACACAAATGATGACGATGTGGAAAAAGATAAAAAACACAAAAAAAGTAAGCTTTTTTCAGCTTTCTAGCTCTCTTTCGCCTTATGAGATTGTCTTTTTCATTCCTCCCGTTTTCAGATTTACAAGAATAAAAGATGATCAAACGATAAAAAATCATAATGTGTATCAACAAACGATGATTTGACGGCGTCGGCTGCAAATCAACGGAAATCAGATCAGTCTCGACAAACACAAGAAGAAGAACAAGATGGTGAGTAAGTACTTTTGTCAGTCAGTAAAGGACAAGATAATTTGCAATTTTTTTTGTTCGATTAGCATCGACCAAATAAAAACAAGCAAAGCGTTTAGGGTAAGAAGAATCCTTTTCCTTTTGATCGTGCATCTGATCTTTCAATAATTCGTTTCATTTCCATCTAGCATTAAGGAAACCAGCGAAGCAGCTGTTACTCATATTTTAGGAGTATATTAAATTCATGGAAAACGTCAACGAAAAGAACTGGAAAGATTTAAACCATGATTTCGTCTGTTTTTTTCTTCTTACAAATTTAGATATTTGTACAAATGTAATTCTCATATTGTTGTTGTTTTGTTGCCAACTTCTTATTGTTAGCTGTGTGTGCTTTCTTCGTGTTTTTTCTGTTCTGTGGTAAGAAAGTTGTTGTTCTTGTTTTATTTTTGTGTTCACACTTCAGATATTTTTGTCTTTTAAAAAAGATATAGTAGGCAAGAAACCTAGAGAATTTTTTTGTGCCATTCTTGTATCTATGATTCTTTTTTTATCAAAATAAAAGAAAAATAGAATCGGATCAAACTTAGTCACACTAATAAAGATTAAGATGTATCGGAGGTGCGTGCTTATTCTTATGATTCTTAGTCTACATCGGCTTCGCCTTACCGACGTTATCGAACTAGAGCGAAAGTTATTGAAATTAATCTCGATTGTCTATAAACGTTGTCGATTTAAGTCGACAACATTAGGAAAGTGAGGTCGATGTACATGATGTATGATCAACAGGTTTTTGCCTTTTGCTTTCTGTTTAGCTGCAATGACAGGATTTCCAAATAACAGAAAAGTGCTTAAACAAAGAGGTTCTAACTTAAAAGTCAGGGCTTAGAGGTTAATCGCCATGCAATCCAACGGCAGTATCAGTTTTCTTTCATTTTGGCTTTCATAATGGGGTTCTGGAAAACCTGGACATTGAGCTTACGGGTCTTCGGATCATTTTTATAAAAGATTCTACGATAATTGAAATTTTTAGTCAATGTACTCATCGAATAGAGCACATTGCACTCTCTCGAAAAACTAATTTGGATAAAAAAGAAAGTTTATTTCTAGAGATTTTGGGAGGCTTTTACTAAAAAAACAAGATCTTCCGGAGACATCGGCGGCGCACAGGTCTACTTGTTGCGAATGATTTCTTTCTTGTAATTTAAGATTTATGTAGTTAACACGAAATGAATATATTTTTATCATGCAAAGAAGCGCTCTCTGTAATTGATACTTATCAAAAATTAACTAAGTTGCCAGATAAAATAGTCGGAAATAACACATATTGTTTGAAACTGAGTGATATTAACAAAGGTAAGAGGTTATCGGACATTCACGGTCTCCTTCCTCTGAATTAAATGGAAGCTGCTGTTTTGTAGATACATGGAAGAATGATAACTTTAAATGGAAAATGTACGGCAAGCGTACCTTAAAACGTAACAAGATTGCAGAATTTCATTCGTCTTATTATATATCTGAAGACAATTCTAATGTTAGTTAACCGATAGAGTCCCTATGTCCACTAGCCTTGAAGTTATATTTTAAACAAATATTGAGTGGAAGAGGCACTTATTATATGTATTCTTGTAGCTCATAAAGAGCTCTATCTACTAGCAATATTAATTTTTTAAAATCATGTTTATATAAGAA